GAGTGATTTATAGAGAACGGCATAACAGTTTTCTGTCGGGTCGTTGTCGGATTTAGTAAGCCGACTGTACGGCGTAAAAATACGCGAGTAGTTTCGCAAGCAACGAAAGAGAGGGGGGGAAAAAAAGAAAAAAACAAAAGCAACGAAAGGCATTTCGAATGCGCGAAGCGCAAGGTAACGTTACCGTTCTGGAGTTAATACTGCTGCTAGTCGCGGCACGGGAATGCTTTATTCCTCGGCAAATCCCCGCGCGCGCGCTCGAGAACGCGTCGCGTCGGCTTCGCGTTTATAACCAGCTGGCAGGTCGGGCCGGCTCGTAAAGAGAAGCCGAGGCGGAACATTACGCGCCGCGCACACAATAACCCCGGCGCGTATCTCGTTGCACGCGTATCAGATTGGCGCGGATGGCCGCCGCGCCGCGCCGCGCCGCGCGAGTAAATGCCGTTTCTGTATGTTAAAAGAAAAGGAATAAGGGCCCCGTGCCGATATATCCGACGGCATTACTCCGATAAAACGGGTATATACACGAGAGACCTCGATATCTCCTTTGCGTATCGAGGTACGTACGGGATACACTTAAAAAACGATTAAGTACGAATATAGCGATGATCAATCATATATTCGATCACTCGATGATATCGCACAAACTAATAAAAGGCACAATTTGTTATTTTGTATTTTGATTAATTAATGACAGTTTATTCTGTTAATTTAATACCTGATCCGCGCGATTCGGATCGGAAATGTTTTTAAGAAATACTTGAGTAATGTGTAATTACGCGAAGAAATATTTATTTTCTTTCGCGATACTTAAAACATAAATCAAAATTAACGGGAAATATTGTTTTAGTGAATGTAGTGATATTATAAAAAATATTTCGTATTTGTATATCAAAAACAATCCATTTATTCCATTCAAGTCCTCCGCGCAAAATTTGTGTTGAATTTTTAACATATTCGGGTATTAATTTTACACAATGATTGTTATTTAAATATTTTTTTCACGTATTTATTTCTTAGTATCAAAATAACACAATTTATGATTGAGTGAGTGAGCAAGCAAAAATAAGGTGTTTTAAAATAAATTTTAAAATGAATGAATAAGATACGTATTAATTTAACATATCATAAATGTTAATTTTGCTGAAAAAAATATATGCTTTCACAATTCGCTTATAAATATTATCATTGTTACATTTTTTATATTAATTTTTTAATATAACATTTGTGTTACTTTCTAAGATATTCATTTCGTGTTGAATTAACATAAAAATTTGAATAAACATTTAAGACACACATGTGAAATGTACTAAATTTAATACAAATTTTCTAACTGTGTAACAAACAATTAAATTAAAATAGATTGATGTATAAAATATATAAAACATTTTAATTTAAATAATTAATATTTTAATATTATAAATATCTTATTTGAATAATAATGCTATTACTTGCTCAAGTAATATAATTTTACATCACGATATTAATTATCCAGAGCAATATTTTAATCTATTAATTTAAATATCTATTATTCAATACTACAAAACAATTATTCAAACAATATTTCTCATTGATTTTTATTCATAAAGTATCACGAGAGAGCAAATAAATATTTCTTTATTCCTCCAATTCCACGCAAACTTTGCTATAAACGAAATTAGAATGCAGAGAGTTTGACAAACGTGCCAATTATGAGCTACAAAATAATATATGTTTAATCTGTCATTCTGTGTAAACTTTTTTAACCGATAAAAGTCGCGTGAACCTTCTAAACTCGAAACTATGAATCGCAATGCAAGAGAATTTAGCAATGTAAATTGCCGAGTTTGCTATACACTTTTATCTCTCGCGTACAATAATATGCGCGATAAAAGAGATCGTATTTTTCAATATGCGAAAGAATACGGCGAACGCGAGTTCCGTTCCTCTTTCAAGTATAAACTTTACACGCTGCAGAAGTTTATTCAAGAAGGTATCTCCCTTATTCTCAATGTAGAATTCCCGGGACGCCGAAGCGCGCGTACACGCGTGAAGTGCCGCTCCCACGCAGCCGGACGGCCGACACGCGTGAGTAACCTACCTACGCAGCGTATTTCGCTCGCGAGTCGCGATGCGAGTGCGAGCGCGTGCGAGCGAGCGAGCGAAGCGGGCACGAGCTCCGCCTTGAATGAATCCTCGTCGTCGCCTCGAGCGAGACTCGTGCGTCGTCTACATACATACAAGGTGCACGCGTGTGTGTGTGTGTGTGTGTCTGCGCGTGCGTGCGCGCTCGAACGCAGCGTTAAGACGCGCGAACCAAACGTATCCCCGCTGATGGAGGACTGTTAACACGCCGAATTATTTCGCCGTTATCTCGTTATTGCGCGAATCAACGTTTTATTGAAGGGATCTCCACTCTATTATCCCGCGACGAGTATTTTCCATTCGCAACATTTCCGCCCGAGTTATCGTCGGCATCGATATCAAAGGTGAAATGCCGGCGCCAAGAATATACGACGAGCCTCACAACAGAAAATCAAACGACACGCGGAAAGTATGCCGGAAATTTATTCGCGCGTCTCGGATAGATATCGCGAATAACTATATATAAATACACAGACACACGCACGCACATATATATATATATATATTTTCCAGGCTAGATGCAGGCGAGGCGTATCGATATCTCTCTCGTTGGTATCGATCACCCTATTCCCACGTTTATTCTCTTTCCATTTCTTATATCGTGTTTTACACCTCTACAATTCGAATGCGCGAAAGCAGGAATTCTCTCTTACGTCTCTCTCTCTCTCTTTCTCTCTCTCTCTCTATATTTTGAATGCGAATTATGTGTGCGTGCGTGTGCGTGCCTGCGGCAGGCGTGACTATCGTGTTCGCGTTTGCCCGCGAGAGACACATGCGGCTGGTGGTCGTCCGCACTCACGCACGTACACACGCACGTACACATCTACGATACAGACACACGCGTGGTCACGGTAGACCAGCACTCTCACGCGATATCAGGGACTTGGCGGAGAATTGAGTTTGTTGAAATAACCTTTTCGCGAGAGCCGTATTCGCGCAATGCAAACTGTTATCCGACAGGAATCCGAAAGCCCGCAATGGTTAACAGTAGTTTTTTAAGTAATACACGCAAACGGATTCTCATTTATCACGGACGCTCGCTCACTTTCTATCCGATTTATCAACAAATCGATGCGATTAAATCACACTCGAGATAACCATATCTTCGTGCTTATTCGTGCCAGGCCCACAGTTGGAATCATTCATGAGAAACTGAGTACAAATGTAATATAATGTAATAAACATATCGCTCTTTTTTACTTCACTTTTACTAAAAGAAATTATTTCTCGGCACGCTTGATGGTTTTCTGATCCTTAATACGTATATTACTACACACGATCAGTCTTAATAAATTCAAGCAATCTAATTATTAATTTAAAAGGAAAGGAAGAATAAGCAGATTATCAAATTTAATCTAGAAATAATATAGAGATATAGAATGTACACTGATTTTCTCTCCTTATAACATAAATATATATTTTGAATAAAATATACGAGTATAATACGAGTAATACTACAAAATTGCTTATAAATTAAAATCACTGGTCATGCTCTCTATTATAACATTTATCACCCAGGAGTCCAAACTCATATATAATGGACTATGGACTGAGTTTTTGAAAGCATGTCTACGTTTATTTTAGCTTTTAGCATAGCAAATTGGACCACCTCAAGACTGAAGGCATAACTTAACGATCAATGACCCGGCTCACTTACACGTGAAATTTACATGCGATAGACATTCTATATAGGATTGAATTACCCTCTTTGAATTGCAACCATTTTTTAATAAAATTAAGTTGCGTTCTCTTTTGATATATATATGTGATCAATAGAATAATATTTACTTAACTTATGATAAAACCTCGAAAATCACATTCAAAGCTAAATGATGTCATCGTACATGATTCAACAAAGGAGGAAAAAAAGTTGTTTACTACTTATATTTTTGTTTACCTTGCTAACTTTTTTTTTCTGCCTTGTTCGGTTAAATTTTATGTTTTTCGCATTTTTTATGCTGTACTTAAAATGAGAAAGCAATATATTAATATATAAATGTATCTGCCATAAGATAATAAATTGATAATGCGTAACAATCCTATAATCAAAAAATACAAACGTGTCATTCCGAAAGGTTACGTACGCTTCGCGTACCTGTATTCAAATTCGCGAAATCGAGGAAGTTTGTTTATTAGGTAATCTCTACGAATTTATTCGCGTATATGTTGAATGAGCGATAACGACAGTTAATCAACTGTTAAATGCACTAACTATACTAACGCATTCTCGAGAGCAGGATTATTGCATTAACGCTTTAATAAATACCATTATCGCCTCCAGTTTAGGCAGGAAAATTTCGGATACAATCCGAAATACCTGCGGAGCAAAAAAGAATCCCTCAGGTTCCTGCCAGCTCTTTTTAGGCTTATTGCTAGGTAATAATCGATATATCAATGCCGAGGCTATTCGAGAGCGACCAGAGCAACGTATTGCTACACAGAGAACCGGAACACCAGAAGTCACTTACGTACATAGGCATATTGTAAAGCAGGAGCCGCCTGTTCTTACACAGACAGACACACAGTTGCATGTATAGCCTGCTGAGAGGCTACGTGTGTGAACGTCACGTCAAGTATTCAAAGATGAGAAAGATCGAAAACGAAAGAGACCAGCGTCCCAATTAATCTTCATCCTGACGAGAAAAAAAAAGAACAAAAAAACAAAGAGTACCCGCACCTCGATTAATTCCAAGCGCGACCGTACGTACAAATTTTAATACATAATCGAGGTATTTGCAGTTGAAAATTAAGATGGCGTAAACAAAGATGGCGCGCGCAATCAAACAACCACCGGGGGGGGGGAGGAAGGGTTGAGTTCACGTAGCTTCTCAGCTGCCTGTAAGATATCATAGAGAAAGAGATGGAGAATCACTCACCGTTGCCGCGTGTCGGCGAGGGCAGGCGTGCACGCATACACCCGAACGATGACCGGCGAGGAGCACCTTTCTCTCTCTGTCTCTCACTCTGTCTTCCTCTCTCTCTCTCTATCTCCTCCGCGGGGTCTACGTCCTTGTGTGGCTGTTCCTCCCGTGTATCCTCTCTCACTCCCGCGTTAAGCGTATTAGATCCCCGGGATATCTCCTCTCGTTGCGTATAATCCAACCGTTCGTCGCCGCCGGCTGCGGCTCGTCGTTACTCGCCGCGAGCTTCACCTCGCGACCCTGTTCTCACGCACGTACACACATACACACAGACGAGGCACTGCCGCCGCCACCGCCGCCGCCAAGGAACTCGTCCCGGACTCTCGTTGTTCTCGCACCGCGACGGATAACACAGCCCGATCGAACGCGCGACAAATCGCCAAATCGCCAAGTGCGACCCGCTGATTACACCGTTTACTCCGATTTTTGTGTTTCTTTTCGCCGTTCGTCGCCCGTCGCTATCTCGCTCCTTCTCGCTCCGACTGGCTCCCGTCGGCGCCTCTCCTCCCCCCAACCGCCGTTCTCTCCTTCTCTCGTACGCGCCCTTCGTTCGGTCCCACTCCTTCCGTTCTCGCCCGTGTGTGTGTGTGTGTGTGTGTGTGTTGTATGTCGCGCACCGCTCCTCCGACGCCTCCGTTACGCCCGGTAAACACCGAAACACACAAATACTCCGGTCTTACTTGCGGCCGGCGCGACAAAGACGCAACGCGACGATTCGAAAAGACGAAACGCCAGTATACTTTTTTCCCCGCGGCTCTTCCGCGACCTGAAGTTCGCCCGTCTCGGCCGACCGTTACGAATGTCGCGGCGCACACGCACAAACGTACACAAACAAACAACGCCCGCGTCTCCTAAGCCCCGGCGAAGCACACACCTACGCCGCGCGGTGTATCATACTTTTTTTTTATCTCTCTTTCTCACTTTCTACCTCTGTCTGCACTGCACTTTCTACGTGTTGCGTTCGCTCTCTCGGTCTCACGCTCGAGTCGCCCGGGCTACGCTATCTCTCTCTCTCTCTCTTTCTCTCTCTGCCTGCCTCTCCCTTCCCCTCTATATCCTTCTCGCTCAGTTGCTCTTCGTAGAACCGACACTGCTACCAACCCGTCTCCTCCTCCACCAACCTCGTTCCCTCCGTCGACTCGCACTCACACGCGAAAAACGATGCCGAAGTGTATACGGGCAAACAGTCGCGCGAACGCAACGAGCTGCTCCTTCTTGCCCGCCGTCGGCCGTCGGTGACGCCGTAGAGAGAAACACGAACACGCACGCACACTCTTATTACACACATACACACACCACACACACGCGCGGCGCACGTACGCACTTTTCTCCGTTTCGTCGGAGCTCGTTCGCTCGGTCGTTCTCCTCTCGCGCGCGGCGAGAGTGGGACACACCCGGGTGGTTTTCGTCTCGGTGTCGTCCGCGCACAACGGTGGAGCGGACGCCCGCGATTGAGGCCGCCCCGGTGACACTGTTAGTTTTGCGCCGCGACGACTCGTCGCGCACGGTGTAGGCACGCGCGCCGAAAGCCCGCGGATTTCACGGGGGAACGAGACACCGTCACACCGCGAGACAAGACACGAAAAAAAAGACGCACAGAGGAGACACCGCGCGTCTCCCTTCTTGTCGCAAAGCACTCACGGCGGACCGCAACACATGGCTACGACGGGGCCACCGCCGAGATCGGGACTGCTCGGCGGCGCTCGGTCGCGCCCGCCAAGTCGAGCCAGGACCGTCGCGCGTCGCGGCGGCGCCAGTTTCGCCTGGCCTGCTCGCTCGCGAAAACTGCGTTACTGCGCTTTCGCAGTCGGAATCAATCTCTTTTCCGAATCGAAATTTTAGTTCTACTTTTTCAATTAAATCTTATTAACCTTTTTTTGGATTTGACTTGAACAATCGAGCACCTCTTTTAGTATTACTTAATGTACAACTTCTATTTAGAAAACTTCTTTCGAAAATATATTTCCTAAAAATAGGAAATTCTCCGATAACTGCCATTTACAGGCTCAACGTAGGAGCTCAATTCGTTAGATTAGAATCTATTATAAATCTCTAGAGTCTATGTATGTCCTAATTAAATAGTTACACATAAATGTGTAGAGTCCAACATATACGTTCTAAAACGTTCAAAGGAGGAGCAAAATTTCGACTCGAGTAATTCGCATCTTGTTCATGATAACAGCTTTTGTTAGATAATTCCTAATTATCTAAGGGAATAACAAATTAATATTACACGTTCGAAAGGGCATATAAGATTCAACGCGGTTTTAGGGGTGCGGATAATAAAGAATTTAATCTAAAATAAATTATTAATATTATATTGCATACTTAGAGATTTTAAATCATTGCAAACATATGTTTCTGAATTAGAATTCGTATTACATTACATGTTTCAACTTTCTTATCGAACCCTCTTTGGATTCCAGAAATGTATAATGAGAGGTAATACCAAAATATCTTAGCAATGCTGAGTCACTTTCGGAGCAAAATTAAAATTACTCACAAGACGGTTGAATGAATCATGTGGAGAGAACTTCTAGAATTTGTTAACAAATTTCTCCATAAGGATTATTGTACAGGCAAATTTATTATAAGCTTACAGAAAATACGAGTAATCTTTGTAAACTCAAAATGACAAATTTATCTAGGGTAACTTCCAGTTTCCAGCAGGTTTGACTGATCGTATCTCGAATTGAATTATCTCGTGGAGTAGACTCTCTCTGACAAAGATAGGACCAGAAATACAAACACGATTTTGAAATGTAAAAAAAAAATTGTTTTTTTCTTTACTTACATTAAAAATCCCAAAACCTGGCTTCAGAACTTTTTAGTTTTTTTAAATTAACACTAAATATAAAGATTGTTAGTTAGATTAATCACTCGGGAAGGCGATATATCTCAGGGGAAAAAAAATTGAGTATTATAATGTTCTAGGACCAATTAACTTTTTTGCGATACATAAATGATATAAAAACAATTCTGGAATAAATGCGTTATCATCACCTCAACACGCGGACAGCAACGTTGTGCTTGGGTTCACATTAATTCGAACTATATTAGTACCGTCTATGCATCGAATGAAAAAAAAAGCAATTAACCTTGAAATATTATAATACGTAACATTTTTCCTCTTTTTTCTCACATCTATTATTCTGCCAAGTAATTAACCTTCGATAATATCAAAATTTTTATACTTATTTATATGTTTATTTTTTAACAAACTAAGAAGTGCCTAAAGCCTGCAGCACGCGATATGTGTTTTTCTGCTGGTTGCTTGCGTTTTACCAAATTACCCAGTAATACTGCATTCTGTGTAATGCAATTGTACTAATTTACTAAAACGCAAACAATTAGTAGGAAAACAAGTATCGTGTGCTGCAGACTTTAGCTATATAGAGTTTGAAATTTTTTTACATGAATAAAAACAATTATTTTACCACAAATCGTATTTCAAAAACACATTTTTATTACTTCTAATCTTCCTCTTGTAAGGGAAAAACTATTTGGTATTTGTAACACATACTATAATTTGTGATGTTATAATCGCATAGTAAAATAATTATGATTAGAAGCTTCATCTTTATAATTATTATTACTATAATGTTAATTATATTTGTAGTCCTATATACCAAAAAATACTTGCATTAAAAATGAGTATTTACAACCATTTTCAATGCCAACTTATCTACTATTAATTACAATTTTAGAATTGTAATTGTAATTGTTTGAATTAAATTTTAATTAAATGCAATTTAGACACCATTTATTTATATATTAATATATTAATTAGATAATTGATGGGTCATCAAAAGTTGTTTACTTAAATGTATGTATTAGATATGTATTATCTGATTAAGTCAATACTGAAAAAACATAAATTTCTTTTATGACACTGGTGATTAAACCCGTTGCTATTTGCTTACGATGATAATCTGTTCTAAAGAATTATCGAGTCTTAAAATAAGAACTCTGCGAAGTTCCTAATCGTTAACGTCATCGATAGATATAAGAGACTTATTGCGTTGAAAGAAACAGACGTCGATGATGAACAACATATTTCTTAACGTATAAACCAATGAATATACATTATCGATTATATATGTATATAGAAGCGAATTAATTAAGATATTAATCAATTATACTGAAAGTATCCCTATTTTATTATTAAATAATAATTAGTTTTTATTACAGCACATTTTTCGTTTAATAACATAAGCGGACATTTTTGTACTATTCGAAATAATTTTAGTATATGATTTAGTAATAATTCTCATATATATATATATATATGTATATGTATAATATATTCTTTTAATTAAACAAAAGTACAAAAAACACATTAATTTTTATATTTATTTTATATTTTTTTTAACAAGCTAAGAGATGTCTAAACTGGAACTTAACATTCTTAATACGATTACAAACGACTATCTCTCACAACAAGTCACATTTCAAAAACGTGTTTCCACTTCCCTCCCCTTGTGAGAGAAAAATGTTTGGTATTTAAAACCAAAAAGGGTAGAAACCAAACAAGGCGAACGAGAGTACAGCGCAGTTATCAATACGCAAAGTAATAAAGTAAAAAAATTTTACTCCTCTATTCCACAGTTTACGAAATTTATGTTCGTAAACTGTGGAATAAAGGAGTAACATTTTTTTACTTTATTACTTTGCGTATTGATAACTGCTCTGTACTCTCATTCGTCCTGTTGGTTTCTACTTTTGCTTGTAATATCGAGAATTCGTAACGAGATTACTTTTGGAGTGGTTTGTTTGGTATTTGTGATAATCGCGCAATAGGATAATTATGATTAGAAGTCATTTAACCATTAGATAAGGCAAAGTTTGATGTGCAAATACTTAAGTGTGCGAAAAAAGCCTTATTTGCTAATTAAGAAAAGGTGGCAGATGCGCAAACGAAAAGGAATTTGGTCGGACGGGAAACCGAGGGAGCTCGGGGTGTCAATTTCCGGCGTTGGCCAGCTAAGGGGAAGACTGGCGTTTCACACAGGCCGACCTCCTCGTCATCTTCTCTTCGAAGGCCGTACGGCGTATATTCGCGAAGATCTAGCCTGGAGGAGAAAAGAAATCGAGGGAGCTTGAAGGAGCACGACGATGCACGAAAAGAAGCTGAGGAGCACGGAGAAGCACTCCTTCACCACGAAGCGAACTCTCTTCACTCACGACAAGACAAAGGCGAAGTTCTCTCGCTTGCTCTCTCTCTTTCGGTATCTCGCCCTATCCCTCTTTCCCTCTGTCCTCGTTTAGATCACTCCTCTTTCCCTCTTTAATTCTGTCCATCTCACTCTCTACTCTTCGACTCGGAGTATCTCTCTTCTCTCATCCCTTCTCTTTTTCTCTCCTCTTTTTTCTCATCTCTCTCTCTCTCTCTCTCTCTCTCTCTCTCACTCTCTTTAATTCTCTTTTTCCCTCAGCCTTTCCGTCCTTCACTCCTTCCCTTCTGATCCCTCGACTTCCCGCGATCTCGCTTTTTCTCTTTATAGAGATCTGTCGGTGTCCTTATCGTTTCGGTGCTTGGACCGTTTGGTCGATCTTTCATTTTCGACATCGATATCGGAGAAAGAGGAAGGGAGAGAGAGAGAAAGAGAAAGAGTTGAGAGAGGATCATCGGTGACAAACAACGCGGGACCTGTGAGAGAGTGAACAAGGGGACGGCAATTAGGAGAGATTCGTTTTAACTTTTCCCTCTCGTCCTCATCGTCGTTGTCGGCGACGGACACCAAGCGTGCGATGATCACCATGTAACCGGAAGCAGCGATCGAAGGCTCGTTAAGCCTTCTCTCTCCTCCCCTTTCTGCTCTCCCTTTACTTTTCTGCCTCACAGAGAGGACGATTTTGTCACCGGTGACATCAGTTCCCGAGATTATCTATGACAAGAGCATCGCAACACACAATATATCTCGATAAATCTTCCGATCAGTTAGTTTTAAGAATTTCGATAAACCATTAATTTTAGATAAATATTTTAAACAATTAAATTATCTATATTTTTAAGTTTACCTTAAATTTGCACTATTTAGCTATAAGATAATTAAAATAATAAATTGGGAAAGATTTCTATACGTATAAATATATAACAAATTAATGTTTAAATAACGGGCAATTGAAAGTGATAATTGCGCAGTAATTCAAGCGCTATTATTTAACAATTATATTTCTGGATTCCTTACATTGAATTAAAACAAAAATTGCTTTCTGTTTTATTTTAATTCAATGCAAGGAATCCAGAAATATGATCGTTAAATAATAGCACATGAATTACCGCGTTATTTAAGTTATTACTCTTAATTGCCCGTTATTTAAATTTATTGTTAAATCTCGAGAGTCCATATTTATTTTTCTCTTGATGTTGAAATATATATGTGTACTTATATTTAAATATGTGTATATAAATTTTACGATGCATTTATCGTCTTGTATTTGACTGTCTTTGACACTGCAAATTTTCAACATTTTACATTACTTATAAAATAATTAAGATAATAAATTTAAAAAATATCTATAAACACACACATACAAGTAAAATTTTACAAATACACAAAAATTTTTTAAATCACGTTTTTACTTTAAGCACAAAGTTGAAATTCTAAACAGTAAAA